GGTGGTCACCAAAACTTGAAATCAGGGAAAGTATCCTACGAGGGGCACCTTCTTCCAGATTGTTCTTTGCTTGTGATCATGCACATTTTTTTCATGCACAGCAATTAAACTTTTTTTAAACTAGTAAGAGTGGTGTTTGGTTAGATCCTCCATCGGAATTTTGTCCGTATTCCCAGTGGTAAGGATCATCCCACATCTTGTTCCAGTGATGGTGCTTTGTCAGTACAGGAAACGAGGGAAAATCTCCCCAATGGAGACCCAGACTACCATAAACACCTGACAGAAGATTCAAACTCTTCCCCATTGTGTGCAAAATCACTACAAATGCATTGAGCCCATTCATTTCACAACCTTTTTTTAACTTATATTTACATTTGTTTTACATTATAGACATTTGGGAGAGCTTTGCAGCAACAGAGGGCCACACTGGTACCTTGGTGTACTAAAACTGCAGATGTATAAAAAATACCCCAAATTGTATCCCTTAAGGTAGAACTGAATGCAAAACTTTTTTTTACTTTGAATAGAGTAAGGGGAGGTTAAAATTGCTGTTAATTTTTTTTTTATCTGTGTTGCATTGTGGAAATGAAAGGAAATCCCTCCAAAGAGGGAAATCCTTTGTAGCCACCAGAATTACAAGAACTAGTGTCTCCATTAGAATATTTGTCCTTTATTCCTATTCTGGTGACCACTTAAATTTTTTGGGATTTTTTTTCACTTTCAGCCACCAGGCCAAATAGAGAGTTTGCATCTCCCTAAAGTTCACCACATAGTACAATCTGATTGTAAATCCTCTTTAAATCTTCCAAAAACTATGTAGAGCGAGGTCCTGATTGGACACAAATTGATTGGATAGAATAGGTAGATCTTCATAATACATAGTTTTGGTAAATCTGGGGTCAGATTGTAGCATGTATGGTGACCCTTAAGTGGGGTACATACTACGAGAAAATTGGACAAACTATCGTCCAATTTTCCACATACCATGAATTAACCAACAATGGTATTAACGTCTCGAACGTTAGAGGCAAACATTCTATCTTGTGTACTTCGGGGTCGTTCTTTGCTTCTGATAATGCACATTTTTTTCTATTTGATTATTCCCGTACGATTATTGTACACATTGAGCAAAAGCTGGACATTGTGATCACGTACGATAAACATTTTCTAGCTTGCACCTTCGTTTTTTTCCTTCTGAACAGTCAGAATCGGCTGTTGAAAGCACTATACTAACGAAAAGATAATCAACCAATTGTTCCTCTTATGGAATTTTCTTCCGATTTTTTATTGTGTGTACCCAGCTTTACAGAGACACAGACTGCATCAAAAATCTGATGGGGTGTTGTAATCCCTCTCCACTTTATCGAAAACTAAAACAAAAAAAGATCTTCGGTTGTATTTTAAATGATCACATAATTTAACGTTTTCAATTTACTGGCTGATATCACCATGGAAAAGACATGTGTAAGGCTGTCAACACTTCCAATAAAATGCTACTGTTCCCAATGTTTGAATCATCTAGAAACAGAAATACAGATAAGAACGAAGTGTTTGTAAACAGGTGTGTAACAGAATGTTCATGATGCAATAGAAATCATTTTTTTAACAATCTAGTTGGATGCAAGCAGACAAGTGACAGGAGAGGTTAAGGTGTGTATAACACGGATTTGTGGGGGCCCTCCTATGGGTGTGAGATGATGAGCTGTGACACTGTTTCCACATTCCAAAGATTCCTATTCTGCCAGAGTATGATATGGGAAGGACTCTCATATGGGGGTGTGGATTATATCTTAGTACAACCCCAGGATTTATAGCCACCCCCCACCTCACAGCATGAGCCACACTGAGAGGATCTGTCATTATACAGACAGCAGCTGCTACAGGTTAGTGCTACCTTTAGTTCCTATGTGTTTTTTGATACTATCCTACACTGCAAGGATGTTACTTATGTGTTCTTGTGTAAAGAACATGGAGAGCAATAGACATATAGAGAAGAAAGAAAGAAAGAAAGAAAGAAAGAAAGAAAGAAAGAAAGAAAAGAAAGAAAGAAAGAAAGAAAGAAAGAAAAAGAAAGAAAGAAAGAAAAAAAAAAAGTATAGGGTGCATATGTAGTTGTTGGAATAGGTAAGAAAGCAGTGATTGTATGCATGCACAGACAAAGTGTGACAGCTAGAAACAAGTCTTTGATGATGAAGTCTCTGCTATGCATTTTGACAGCCAGCCTTATTGTTGCTTATATTGTTATCCTCATTTTAGGGCTAATCTGCCATTTATTTTATACTGTTCTTTTTAAAAATGTTGAGAAATCATAGATCCCAGAAGTTGTGTGTTGTCTGCTGCAGTGCTAGAAGCATGTCTTCTGTATATGTTTTAGTTGCCATAACTTAAATGTTATGATCTCTACAAGTTACTTTTTCCCGGAATTTACAGGCTAGATGCCTATGTCATGTAGTTTTCATAGAACTGATTTTGAATTATCTACTTGCTGTGTAAATATTTTGATGCAAGGCAAGTTTCCATTAGATTTGTTTGATTTCTTTTTGATTAGGAGGATTCATAGATGTTTGTCATCCTTCTTTCTGTGCTGAAGTAAACATGTGACAATGGAGCGTTTGTGAAGAAATGTGTATTAGGTAGTTAAGTTAAATGGACTTCAGCACATAGTAAGTCATGCCATTCAGTAAGGTGCATGTATTGTGATACCTTAATAAAAATGTTGATCCACTGGAAACGTAATGTAATGTAACCTGGTATTCTATATTTTATAAGTGGCAAAGAAAATAAACGAAATATCACCAAATGATCTCCAATGTTCTGTAATGAAAAACATTTTGAAATTTAGAGGGACCTTACCTTTTATGAGTTTAAAGCATATATTAGATATAAAAAATTTAAACATTCACAAGTATTTGTTTACTCCTAAATATATAAGCAACCATACTATGTGAGGCCTGCTCTATGTAGACTCTTCTTGTACAAATGTATTCGTAGCTTTTTGTATGATGACCACTCGTGGTCTGTGTGGCCATACAAAGCAATATACAATAAAATGTGTCTGAAGCCAAAACTTTTAGGCCAGGTAGCTTAGGATAGTGTAAATGGTTAGAAGCCCTGTCCTTTTTTTGCTGTCTGGAGTTTTCATAGAAACATAGAAAAGTGACGGCAGAAAAAGACTGAGTGGTCCATCTAACCTGCCCGTTTTTGTTTTTTGTTTTAGGGGGGGGGGGTTGTTTTTTTTTTTGTTGTTTTTTGTTTTTTTTGTTAACTTTTTTGTCTGAGTATAGGTTTATGCTTGTCCCAAGCTTGTTTGAAGCTAATTACTACTGGATGGCTCTCTATCTAAAATAGTACTTTCTGAGATTAGTTTTGAACTTTCATCCAGTTTCTTTAAGGTCATGTTCCCATGTTCTTGATTTTGTTTTCGTGTTGAAAATATTTCCCTTTACACCCTCTCATTGAGAACAAGTTAGTGGAGTTGTCACTGTAACAGGTATCTTCTTATTTGAAAACATCCCCTGTTATGGTGACAATTCTAAAATTTTAGATTGCTATCATTTTCTTCCCTAGTGACAGTGATCACCAGGGCATATAGGGCAGATTTCTCCAGAGGTTACACAAAAGCTTACAGAGGTAAGAGTAACATCTTCACCCTATCCAAAAATTAAATAACCTATAAAGCTATCTGTATATTAGTTGGTTTCTATGGTTTTGTTATATTTTCTCATTTTCGGGTTTTCCGTTTTTTTTATGTTGTACATGAGATATATTGACAGCAGCATGCTACGTTCATAGATGAGAATGTAGAGTTGGCATGTTATACAGTATTGTGAGTGTCAGAAGACACTGTGCTGACTGTGTGATAGATGTGTAAGTAGAGGATAAGGAGGCTTGTAGAGGGAGGGTGTGACCAGTCTTTGGCAAAACTTCCTCTTTAATTTCATTTCTTTTTTTGGTTTCTGTATTGGGTGGTTCAGCACAGGATACCAGGGGTTACTGGCGTAGGCTGGAGTCTGGGTGTTTCGAAACAGGAGGTATAAAGTTCAGAATAACAGGGGAAGAGAGGGGTCTGCTTGCAAATCTTCAAGACTGCACATGATTAGGCTGCTATAACACGTAATTGTTGCTTCCATGCAGAATTTCTAGCACCGCTTTTAAGAGTGCTTGAAACAGGAAACTAGTCAGAGAGTGTAGCTTCTGATAAGACTGAGTTTATTTTTGTTTTTAACTTTAGATAACTGTTTTCCTCCCCTGTATTGTGTGGGCGCAATCAAGTCAGCTTACAACTAATTAACACTGAACTTCTCTGGTTTGGAACTACATAGCTGTATTGTTCAATTATCACTGTTAGAGCTCTGCAAGCCCTCCCAAGATTTATGAGGCAGCTTTCTGACAAGACAGCTATTACTGGTTTTGCTGGCCGTTCAAAAAACAGCTCATGGTACCTGCGTACATATTAGTCATGATATGACAAGTTCAGGTTCTGTGCACCTCAACCAAATAGCCTGCTCAAGATTCAGAGGTTGCCTGGGACATAGGATTAGGTAAAGCAGATGATGTAAAAAACTAAATGCAGAGGAAAATTCCAAAGAGTGTTATGTAGGCCCTTAGGCTCTAGATCTCAGATGTACCTTTGACATCTTTATGAATGCAGAGGTCCTAAGCAAGAATTCTGTATTTATTTTTAATTCAAAAACTAACCTGCCACCCTCGTTATTTCTCATCCATGTGTGTTTTTTTTCTCTGCAGGTTTTTAAAACATGACTCGTGTTCCAGAAAGAAAGAAGTCCTGGTGGCTTAGTTGCTGTTCGTGTTGCTCTAGTACTAGAGAAGATGTAGAGGAATATCGGAGAGCTCCAGGAGATAGACCATCTGGAGGAGATAGACATGGAGGAGGGGACAGAGATGCTGGGGGAGACAGATATCCTGGAGGAGACAGAGGTACTGGGGGAGACGTTGATTCGGGAGGACACTCAGATGGACCTGGAGGCAGACCAGGAAGAGACCGAGACAGACCAGGATCCACCATAGATGACCTGCCTGTATCAACTCCAGGTGAGGACTTTTTACAAATCTCTCTCTCTCAGCTTGTCTATATTTTCTGCAAATAAGCTCTGTAGCATAAACTCCAAGCTGATATGAAAAGAACATCCTTAATGCTGGGCTCCTGTCAATCAGCTAAATACACCATTGATATATATATATACTGTATAAAGCAATAATTGGTCCCCACACACATTAGTCCTGGATGCACACTGTGGGGGATACTCAACAAAGTAAACATATACCTCAGTGCACTTACATAAAAAAATCCAAGCCTTTATTCACCTACATTTCATTGGGTCACAGTCCACCTTTACTAAGGCAAGGTGAGCTATGGCCCACTGAAATAAAATAAAGTCTTGGATTATTTATATTCTTTCAAATACCTATGAGTGCACTGAGCTGTATGTTTACTTGTTGGGTATCCCCTACAGTGTGTACACACTCGGTGTGGATGAGGGAATCTTCCCGCTGAGCTATTGTATTCCGACAGTTGGGAGACTCCCCTGACATCAGAATACACTGATCAGCATCTCAGGCTATAGCCTGCGGCATTGATCAAGCAACAAGAAAATGACAGGATTACTTTAAATAAATTGACTTCTGTACAACCTCCCTGCCCATACATGGATTAAAATTCAGTTGCTCCCTGCTGAACCAGACACGATAGTGTGTACAGGAGATTACAAGAATCTGAAATCAAGTCACATTCAGGTAATAGCACTAATTATAGCTTTATATCAAAACTAAGGTTCAGCTTTAAATTTATTATTGGATTTATTAAATCATCATTGTTTATATTTTTGTATAACGCTGACAAAAGTACCCAAACCTGTAATGCCCTGTATACCAGAACTCAGACAAGGAGAGGGAAGGTCAGCTGAGAGCCAGACAGGTTCCACCATATTTCACAGTGTTGTCCACTTAACACTAGAGGCTTGCTGATGGGAAAAGAGAGCAAATTAATCATTTCTTCAATGTACAGCTGCTTCTTCATTTTCCCCTTAAAGTTTGGAATAAGTCCTGGAGCACATTGTATTTCCCAGCTGCAGTGTACACTGCAGTGGATGCCAACTCTGCGGTCTAACCAGGACTACAAAACTAGGTGGCCAGTAGTGCAAATCTACTGGAGAGAACAGCAGTTATGTATTCAAACCGTGTCTTCTTTGCCTGAAGTTCAGCTTTAAAATATAGCATCAGTATGTATAGGACACTAATCTGTATGTATAGACTACTCCCTCCTATAATGTGAATGAGAGGAGAGGGATAGATGTTCTGTAGTCCTGCCCTAGGGGAACAACACTGTTTCTTGATAAATACAGTACAATGAGTGAGCATTGTCACCCTAGGACAGGAACTGTATTACTGGCAGGATCACCAGGAAAAAAAAAAACTAATATATCCCCACATTTAGGGACTGGTAAGCTGCAACATAAAACATTTTTGTTTATAGGTTTAGATACACTTTCACTTTATATGCTTGCAAAATAATACTTCTCTGCAGGAAAACCAGTCTGAAGATCTGTATTTTTTTTCTGTTTCTAGGAGGACCTCTGAAAATTCAGAAAGTGGATCTTCTCCAATCTCGGACTAGCGAAAATCGTCGATCTCATCACACTGATGAATATGAATGTGATGATCTAATTATAAGAAGGGGACAGCCCTTCCAGATCTGTGTCACGTTCCAAAAAGAATTTGGCAGGAATGATCAAATCTGCATTTTGCTACAGCAAGGTTAGTGAGAGGAATGTGATATGATGACATACCTTCAGTATGAGTCAGATAATTAAATGTTTATTGTTAGAAAAAGATGTTTAGCTACCACTTTAGCTAGATTGTGGCTATTGAGTAGCTTTGATATTCTTATCCTCATATTTTTTCATTTGCTATTTAAGACTATGGCAAAGGCACAATCATACGATTGCACATAACAGTGTCTCAGGCGCAGCTCAGAATCAACTAAAACTTACTGTTAGACATTTTAGGGATATAGCAAAATTTACAATAATACAGAATATGACATAGACATTTTGACTAAGACACATTGGTTGTGCCATGGGAAACCCATCCGAATATCAAGCCTAGGACATCTCACACCAGTCCTGTGCAGTTTTTTTCAAAAATGAAAAGGGGTAAGAAAATGGAGGCCTGGAAAAGCAGCTACTGGCCGAAACGTTGGCTCCTATGCTGACACTATGATAAGAACAGCTATGTGAGTGTTGTATTGTAGATCCCTACATGCAATAAAGTGAAAGATGTTCTAGATTAACTGAAGACAACATTTATGTTTCTGACTCCACTATCTTAAAGCCACTTAGAGTGGAACTGAAGGAACTGGGAGCAGGCGGGCTATTTATCGCAGAAAAGATATGCAGTGTCTCTTCTGCAATAAAATGCATCTACCTGCCTGCTTGCAGTCTTCTGCAGATACTAAACAGAGCTGCATATGCGTAGCTCAGCTTACATCGCCAGCACGGTCCCTGTGTGCTGGAATGACTGACTCCTGCGCATGTGCAGGAGTTACGTCATCCCGCGCCAGCCAAAGAAGATGCCCGAAGACCCGCATCCAATAAACAAATGCCTGTGCTGGCAAGGGACCCTCTGCATATTTCAACCTGTTACTGAAGAGGTAAGTATAGTGCCTTTAGTTCTGCTTTAAGCACTGTTTGTTTCAGTTAGTTTAACTGGCTTGTCCCTAGCAGGAAGAAGACTTTAGGGCTTGTTCACACCATGGTGCAGAGACATCCGTTTCCGTTTTCTGCATGCTTTCTGCAAGTGCACAACAAAATGAATCATTCTCTATGTGCCCCGTTCACACCACAACACTAGTGTCACGTGCAGATTTATTCTGTGCAGGAATCTGCAACATGTATAAAACCCATTGAGGTGCACGTTAAAACTGATGTCTCTACAAGTGAAATTTGCGCGTCAGTTTCCATCAGTCTTTCTGCATGTATGGTGTGAACAACTCCTGCTTAAAAATATTGAGTATTATTGACTGTTGATATAAGACAAATATTTTTAAAATCTGATTTAGGTGCAATTCTCTTCTTAATCGTGTTGTTTATGTCTTCTGACAATATATTTTCTCAGCGTTCTGTTTTGTAACAGTCACCCTCACTCTTGCAGGAAATGCCCAGGCAATCACCTTACCTCTGGTAAAAGAATTCGATGAGGGAAACTGGGGATGTCAACTGGCAGAAGCAAGTGGACAGAATGTCATTTTTTGGGTGAACACTTCAGCCCAGGCTTCTGTGGGAAAATACCAGCTCAGTGTTAAAAGTAGCGGAGGAATATGCAGTGACTCTAAATTAAAGGTCTACATCCTGTTTAATCCTTGGTGTAATAGTGAGTATACTTTCCTTATAAACCAGTTATAAATTCATTGTCTTGTACCTTCCTCTGATATTGTATCTTTACTCTTAAGGGAAAATGAACTTTTCATAAATCCTGTCTCTAATTATTAATGTTCTTTTTTTCTAGTGGATTCTGTGTTTCTGGATAATGAAGCATGGAGACAGGAATATGTTCTTAATGAGATTGGAAGAATTTACTATGGTACTGAGCATCAAATTGGTGAACGTTCCTGGAACTATGGACAGGTAAGATCGTGGACATTCTACCTTGTAAACCTTTAAACCTTTAAAGGTCCATGTACTGATATTCCTGTTATTACTGGAGGCTTGAGGAGGCTGAAAGTCATAAACACTAGAATCAGAGGATCTTCCTAACCCATTTAAAATAATAGAACTTTCCATCTCCTGTTGCAGCAGTTGAGTCTTCTTCCACCTTCTGCATTTTTCATAGTGTAATAGAAGATATAAAAAACAACAGAAAGTGTGAGGCCCTCTTATAATAGTCTCTGTATCTGCTACTGGTGTAATAAAAAGGATCTATCTGTATGTTTCAGAATATCCTCTATCACCTGAAAAAAAACTTTACAGCTTTATTTTACTATACAGCTTTATTTTAAAAGACTTGGTTGGTTTTGATTATCGTTGGAAATAAACTGACCATGTCAAAATAAAACAATTTTTTATGAGTGGGAACAGTATTTCTCTTAAATTAGGCCTGTATATGTTAGTCCATGACAGGATTCATATAATGCTAATCTTTTTTTTTCCGTTTAACTTACAGTTTGATAAGGGGGTTCTGGATGCTGTAATGTTTGTACTGGACCGTAGTGGTATTGCACCTGGATCAAGAGGAGATCCTATAACTGTTTCCAGAGTTATTTCTGCAATGGTGAGTTCTATTCATCTAGTAATCTAAATATGCAAATCTGAAAGCATGTATGTTGATGATTGCCCAGTATTTTCCAATGTCTGCTTATTACCTAACACCAGATAGCCTGTTTTAAGAGTTCCTATTCCTAAATGCAGTCACCCCCCCAGCAAACAAATAGAATCCATCTTGTACCGGTGACCTGAGTTAATTGTCCTTTGGTACTCTGGATTATGGTATCTAAGAATTAGCATGTACTATAAAAGTCCTGTGTACAGTGGCATGTAGCTCAGTTTATTACTGTGCTTCACACCAAATTAAGGTCTAAAAAACCAGAGGGCAAATTGCAGATGTCAGTATGACGAACTGTGCACTCAGAGCCTGGCTCATATTTTCCAAACCTGTTTTCTTGGCCTTTGTGTATAAATATGACTGACATATCACAATATGTCTTCTGCGTCTGCTGAATGTGGATTACTCTACCTAATGTTATAGCTAAATAAAATATAAATATAAAAATAATTGTGTTTAGCGGTATACTAGCCTCTGATTGGCTTGTTCACATCCACAAATCTACACGGCTCAATGACTGTTTTTAATGGTGTGAGTCAGCCTTTCTCCACCTTTTCAACACAGAGGAACCCTTGAAATAATTTAACAATCTCAGGGAACTCCTGCTAAAAATTAATTTACCTACAACTCATCATACATTAGTGTAGTGGTCACTTAGGAGAATGCTGCTTACACTTGTGGTCATTGGAAAGAACTATCACCTTATAAATAGCAAAAAAGGTCAATGTTGTTTATGGGAACTTATCTGGGAGACAGAAATTGCTCATGGAACCACTGGTAACCTCTGGAGGAACCCCAGGGTTCCATGGAACCCTGGTTGAGAAACCCTGGTGTAAGTTGTGATATTATCTATGACTATTATAACCAAACATTACTTTGCAAACTTGTCACTGTGTGTTAGAATGGAAAATCGATAGCTAGCACATTAAATGTATTGAGCAAATTAAAGTGGAGCTCCACCCAAAAGGGGAAGTTCCGCTTTAAGGACTGCTCCCCATTAAGGATTTGCACCTTTGGGGAGCGGGGGAGAGTGGGTACCCGAATTTGACAGATACCTGCTTCCACTTCCGGTCCGATCGCCTAGGCAATCGGAAATGGAAGGTGTCCTCCCTCCCCCCTCCCTGTAGTCTTTTGGGACACGTGACAGGTCCCAGAAGACTACAGGACCATTCACGAAGCGCAGCGCTACTTGCGAATGCGCAGTGGGTACCCAGCTGTGAAGCCACAAGCTGTCACAGCCGGGTGCCCACACTGAAGATGCCGGCCTCCTGGAATACAGAATGGCTGGTGAAACGGGCTGCAGGGGACACACAGCGGGACCGAGGGACAGGTAAGTGGCTGTTTTTTAAACGTCAGCAGCTACAGTTTTTGTAGTTGCTGACTTTTATTATTTGATACGTCAAGTGGAACTCCACTTTAAGGTAGTCAAGGTAGTCAGAATGATTAACTTTTTTTTTCAATTCAAACATTGCCTAAATTGTATTTTGCGTATTGATTTGCTCACTTTCATAACAGAATAACAGAAACCTTTCTGGTCCTTCTTCTCTTTTTAGGTAAATTCTATGGATGACAACGGAGTTGTTGCTGGAAGTTGGTCTGGTGAATATGCTGATGGTGTGAACCCAGTTTCCTGGGTAGGCAGTGTGGACATTCTACTCCGTTATCACCAAACTGGGTGCTCAGTGAAATATGGGCAGTGCTGGGTATTTGCAGCTGTCACCACCACAGGTAATGTAGTATGAGGAGATCCATAAGATTTAATAATAAGCACATTAATAATCTGCCCTGTTGGAAGTTATGTTAGGGTAGGTAGTATAACACTTATATATAGAATGAGATATCTTCCCTGAGTGTGCCAGTGGTGTAGGAATAAGCATTTTAGAGTTTGTGATTGAAACTCGGCTGCTGTTATAGGGCATATGAGGGTCTACCCTATTTAACAACCAACTCCTTCACCACCACCTAAAACAAGTGTACAGCTAAAATACTTTTTTATGGAGGAGATAGCCAAGATGGGGTGGGGTTGGGGGGCTGTTATAAAAGTGGGGAGGAGGGGGTATATGTGAGAGAGGGATTAGATTCAGGAAGTAAATATTTGGGTGACCATGTTGGCTGTAGGAGGCATATAGTGGTTGGGGGTTGTTGAGTCTGGAGTAGTACAGGGACTCTCTACCGGGGTTGAAGTATATCATACGACTGTAGTGTGCTTTTTATGTAAATGATCAACCTTTAATTATTGTATCACCCATATTATTTTAGTGCTACGCTGTCTTGGAATCCCTGGACGTACCGTCACCAATTTTGCCTCTGCTCATGACACTGATGGCAATTTAATATTTGATGTGTATTTTGATGAAAACATGAAGCCAATAGAAGAAAAAAACAGTGATTCAGTTTGGTAAGTGATGGAAAAACATTTACATATTTTTGACATGCATATATTGCTAATGGTAAAGTTTATGTAAATAACCATCTGTTGATTTATGCATATTTTCCTAGGAATTATCATTGCTGGAATGACTGTTGGATGAGACGTCCAGACTTGCCTGGTGGATATGATGGATGGCAGGCTATTGATGCCACACCTCAAGAAACCAGCAATGGTAATGCACAACAACGTTACATACACATCCTTTGTTTCTACCTCCTTTTTCATTCTCTAGGAATTTATTTATTCTCAGATTATTGTTGAAATATTTTCTGTTTCTCGGTTTTAGTTCTATGTTTTAAAACCACTTCATGTGTTTTCTTTATTCAGGTATATACTGCTGTGGCCCATGTCCTCTTTTGGCCATAAAGAATGGCTTAGTGAATATTAAATATGACTGTGGATTCATCTTTGCTGAGGTAATTTGAATGATGCATGACATGTTCATAATGACTGTACTACATAGGCATTCTCTTGTATGTTCAGATTTAGTGCATCACTGATCACAATAAATGGGCCGGACCCTGTTATTTATTAACAAAAAGATTCAGTGAACTAAACTGCTTGCTGTATTTCATGTAGGTGAACAGTGACAAGGTGTTCTACCAGCGGCAGCCAAATGGCAAGTTTAAGAAAGTCCACGTGGAAGAACGAGCAGTGGGACACCACATCAGCACCAAAGCTGTAGGATCCAATGGAAGGGAGGACATCACGTACCTGTACAAGCATCCAGAAGGTAACACAGTCACCTAAGTAATATTTTTACTTCTCAAATGTGTAGAAATAGCCCAGATTGAACATTAAATATTTATAGGTAGAGAAATATCCTTCTTATAAGGGAAGATGCATCAAGATTGTTCAGATGGAGGGAACATAGTGAGTCTTATGGAAAAGTATTAATGTTAGTGTAGGTCATTTAATATTGCTGGTAGCCCAAGTTAAAAGAAACATTCAGAACTTTGAAATTCATGCTATTTATCAGCACTTTGTGTGGTTCTGTTGTGCAGGGACAGGGATTACACAAGAATTCTCTCAATTTCAATTCCTAGAAGCTATAGTGACAACATTACATTTTTACAAGATTATAACATCCCCAAAAATCATAGCGTTAATTTGTGGCCACAATGATGTTGTAAATTTTCATCGGAAATGCAGGTACCTGTCTCAAGTTAGTCAGTGAGGCCTAATTGGAAGATATATACTACAGACACTGAGGGGTTTATTTACTAAAGCTGGAGAGTACAAAATTAGGCTCACTTCTGCATAGAAATCAATCAACTTCCAGGTTGTATTGCCAAAGCTTAATTGAACAAGCTGAAGTTAGAAGCTGATTGGTTTCTATGCAGAAGTTACCCTGATTTTGCACTCTCCAGCTTTAGAAAATACACCTCCAAGTATATACTGGAACTATCTCAATTTATTACAGATTTGACATGAGTATTTACAACAGAAAAGATGCATTATAGTCTTTGGTCATCAGTCAGATGTCGTGACGATTGACCAGAAGCTGGTGACAATAATCAGATGTTCATGATGATTGGTGGTATTTTTAGATGGCTTCTGTTTTTTTTTTTTTAGCTGGAATTTCCCATTGTCTGGATATATCTTATCTAAAAGTTATGAATTAACATTTTCAAGACTTGGCACTGATGTTTGTGGTCACGGGTTGCAACACTCAGATACAAATGTACATGAAATATAAAGAGAATTAAGAGAAGAGGTTAGTTTAAGATATATAAGGTGTATAAAGATATATCCTGTTACTGTAAGGCACACCTTCTTACTGCAATGGGCGCTAGAAACTTAGAGTTGTTACTTTTATTGCAACATTTTCCATTTTGATATAATACATTTTAATTTTTGATTCAATTCTTTCTGGCCTTATTTTGTAGAGTTTGTTTTACTGACCCTACCTTTTTATCATCAGGCTCTCCTGCAGAACGTGAAGCAGTGCGCACAGCTGCCAAATATGGCAACAAGCCTCTAGCAGAAGTTGATACAGATGAGTCCTCTGATGTGTCGCTTACCATTGAGTCACAGGATGGTTTCAATATGGGCAGTGACATTAATGTCCGCATCTTGCTGAAAAATTGCAGCAGTAGTCGTCGCTCAGTGTCCTTATCTATGGCTGTTGCTGTTATGTTTTATAACGGTGTCTGCAAAGAGTCATTCAAGAATGAAACCTGCGATGCAACTCTCAACCCTGGAGAAAGTAAGTTGCACTACACCATTTTTTATTTTTATTACAAATTGCCAAAAATACTGAAGTGGTTATAGACATGAAACAGAACAGTGAAGACAGAATAGGGAAGATAATGGCAGTAGAAATAAACACAGAGGGGTTGATTTACTAAAACTGGAGGGTAAAAAATCTAGTGCAGCTCTGCATAGAAACCAGTCAGCTTCCAGGTTTTTTTTAAAGCTTAATTGAACAAGTTGAGGTAAGAAGCTGATTGGAAACATGCACAGTGACACCACATGTTGCACTTTCCAGTTTTAGTAAATCAACCCCAGAAGGTCATGAGGTGGACATGGATATGCTCCAGGGTTGTAAAGATTTACAATTAGTAATTTGATGCTAAATAGGAAATCCCCCTATCAGGCTTCACGCTAAAATGTCATTTCCATCTAGTAGTTAATTTTACAATTGATTTTCACTTTGGAGTAGCAAATATTGATTGTTGTATTGTGCAACCTGGAGGCCACGCAGGTATACTGCTAAGGTATGAGGTTTACAAATCCAACCATGACAGCTGTGGATGCCTGGGATCACATGCATTATCCTAATGTCTTGAGATTCATTAAGTGTTTTATTTCTCCAGCATCTATGAAAATCTAGATATCATATTTTCCTCCCCTTCTCTTCCCAAACCTTGAATCGTTTCACTTTGCTGTATTTGGAACTAGCCTCTCATCTACTCTCTCACTACTATTTTCAAAACCCTGTTGCTTCACCCTCAAATATATCCATCTTTATTTCTTACTGTCTTCTGCTCTTGTGCAGCCATGATGGGCTGCTGATCTTCTGGAACTAAAGGCCTGGTAGGAACTCCCTCAATCCTAGATAGCATACATAAAAAGTAAAAACAGAGCATTTAACGTCTTGCTTTTAACAGACAGCACCTAATGACTCCCTCAGCAATAACAAATGTTACAAATGGAAGTAACTCACCTCCATTGTTGAGGAAGTTTAAAAATCTGGCTTTGTATAAACATCTGGAATCCACTGTTAATGAGAATACTATGACAAATTCAACTGTATAGGTTATGACTCCTTACTTTTTTTAGCAAAAAAGATTGGCTTGACCTTTTAAACTGTGTCAGGTAATAATATACTCATTAAGCAGTTATGTGAACTAGTGCAATAAATGCAGTTAGTTATAAAGTGCTAAATGAGTATTGTGTATATAGGGATAGGAATGTATGGGTGCCTACTATGTACTTTTGTCACCCTTTATATCAGCTGGTTTGATATGTATGACTCTTAATAAATCCTTTTCATGGATGGAATTCACAAATAGGCCACATTTTTAAGTAGCCACATGCAGACTAATCAAATACCAAAAAGTAAATTCACCAGAAGACTGCCTATTAACACATCTAATACAAATGGCATGTCTGTCATTACATTTCAATACATTTGTGCCTATCCCTGCATTATCAACGTGTATCATATTACCATTGTATCTTCCATTATAATAATGTGAGATCAGAACATTCTCTACAAAATATACGAGTATACCTGTCATTTATTTTTGTTTTCTTCATTGTATTCCCAAATTCTAAAGTAAACGTCAGCAGAAAGAGTTTAGAAACCTAAAGTTTAAGACAGTAGAAAGAGACTGGAGCAATAAGCAATAGCATCATTTTTGTGTATCTTTGCCTTTGATCATTGTAAATAATTTATTCTATAAAAAATATTTTTCCATATATAACACATTTTGTAATTCTCCCTTATTTCCCGTGCACAGCTAAAGCAGTTGGGTTGCTGTTAAGTTATAGTGAATATCGTACACAACTGGTGGATCAATCAGCCATGATGTTAACAGTGTCTGGAATTGTGAAAGAAAGTGGACAGAAATTAGCCAAACAACACACCTTTAGGATAAGAACCCCAGATCTCGTGATTAAGGTATGCTAATATTCTGTATTACTACCGACTGGGTTTTTGCTTGTAAGCTCCATAGACTTGGTATTGCTGTAACTGAAATTCCCACCATATACTGCTAGCAGTAGTTAGTCACATTCAACTGAACTTGTTTAATGTTGACAGTATTTTGCTCCATATCCATCTATATTTTCTGTTGAAGAATCTGTTTGGATAAGCTGCAAAACACCTTCAACAATACAGAACAAATCCAGATGAATGTGACAATCTACTACTAGCTGTACAGCAGCAAGGATAAAGGAGAAACATTTACAGAGACAGAATATACAGAATTTATAAACAAGTACATTTATACCATGTTTTTGCTTGGTGGAAATGAGTGCAAATGTAACAAACAAAAATCCTGCAGTTCTCGAACATACTTGCCAGCACAGTCCTAAACCTAATCCTAGCCAGCAGAATCCTAGTTAAATCCTGAATCTAAAGTTATGGTAAAAAATACATAAAAGCCATGCACCACTATCAAAGTGCCTCTGGAGTGTACTTGGGTTGAAGCAGCAGCTTTGAAAAAATATATACTGTAAATCACTGGCAGCACAAGTAAATGTTCGAAAAAAAATATCATAACATGAAAGAGCTGAAGCAATCTGTGAAATGTTCAATCCATATACACTGAAAACACGATGATAATAAATAAACAACAATCATATATGAGCCCACAGAAATCATGTATACTAAATCCATCTCCCCAATGAGATCATCATGTGAATTAGTAAACGCCAAATGAGCGCAATGAGCATGCAAATTCTTCTCAACAACACCACATGTTCAAAACACACTTCCCCAATCCACTGACACTCACCAAATAATATGGCGTATCTATGAAATGATAAACATGAGTGCTTGTATTCAAATACTCCTCCTTACATCTGCACTCCCTCCATATTGCTTGTGACATCGGGTAGAAGTAATGCACAATCAGCGGTGAACTCTAATGAGCAGTGAATACTCCGCAGAAGGAAAGGAAAAGACCAATAGTGCAATTCCGCTAAAACAAATGTTTATTCAACTCATAAACATGAGTTGTACAGTCAGCCCATCCATAGTCACAACTGTCTCCCCGCATGGTGTAGTGTGCCACATTAGTGGCGTCTCAACCAACCACCCTCGCTAGCTACGAGTGGAATGTCACTTCCGGTGGGGGATATGAGGTAGTCCTCAGTGCCTTACACTCCAACCCTCACGCGTTTCGTCACCTGACTTCTTCAAAGAAGTCAGAGTCTACTAATTCACATGGTGATTGCATTGGGAAGATGGACACATGATACACCATTTATGTGGACTCATATCATATTATACACTATTATCACAGTGCTTTCATTGTAAATCGATTGAACATATCACAGATTGTTTCAGCATTTCATGTTATGATGGGGTTTTTTTTTTTAATGTTAACTTGCGCTGCCAGTGATTTACAGTGCTTAATATAGAATGATGTTCAACAGACATTCATTTTAAGGTAGCAGCAGCACTCATTTGGAGAGGTTAGTGGTTGTGGTTAAATTACACTTTTATATAGTTAAATAATATTTTACACATTGTGTGAACACATTTATTCTGAGTCAAATATTTTTTATTTATACGTGTCATAAAATAGTTTTGTGTCACTTCACTGCACGGTGATTGCGTGATTTATAATTTAGAAAATATATACCAATGATAAAACTGTATGCAAGCTTACCTAGAAGTTATATATCCTTAAGGTATAGTGATACAGGTCCATATTGCAAAAATCAACTGAAAACCTCTCCTGTTTGTATATATAGCAGAGAATATTATTAGAGATACAAAACACATAGCACAATGCCTTCACTCCTGTGGGGACAAATATGTAAAAATATGTTTTATTGAGCATAGCTTTGGAAGACCCTTCACTTCTCAAAAAAGACATGGCTTTTGACAGAACAGATACCTGGACTGTTCCATTTAAATAGGTACTTTTCAGTGAAGGTGAGGGTCATAACATCCAACACTTAAATGTGCCCACTGTGATTTCAGTGATTCAATTGGCTATTCAGGTGCTAGGGGCTCCTGGATGAACTGTTTATTCCAATCTGTTACCAGCATTTTTTTCATGTTTGTTGAGCAGGTGCAGCTTTTTGTACACACTAAAATATCTATTGGAAGGGGCTCTGCTCTTTGGAAAGAGATAGAGATGGGGAATTTGTTACTTTCCTGGGAGTGTAGTTTAACTACTGCAGTAGCCGCTTTGCAATAAAACTGAGATGAATTAAGTATGGCACTTCCCTGTCATATCTGAATTAAAATTCTAAAGGACAACATAACAGCACAACTACTTTATTTTCATGGAGAATTTAAGGCACATTTTGTACAAAATATTAAACAATGTATTGCTGTATCTGTATTACAGGTGCATGGTAACCCTGTGGTTGGCCAACAAATTGTGGCAGAAATCATATTCCAGAACCCTCTTCAGACAACATTGCACAATGCCTGCTTCCACGTGGAAGGACCTGGTCTTCAAAGACCAAAGATTGTCCAAGTTGGGTAAGTTAACTCCCATGTCAACTTCTTTTGCCCGGTTTACATTATCTTATGTTTTGATCAAGCCAATCTCTTTTTAAAAAATATTCTATTGTGTGAAACATAAACCCTTCTCTATATAGAGCATCTATAGTACCAACATTACTTTTAGAAATAACATACAACAATTTACAGTTATTGGCCACAACCCACTTCTACTATCTTCTTGCTTGAAAAGCACAACATTTCTGGCCGCTAACACATTTCACAATGTTTTTTCTCTACAGAGATATCGGGCCTTTGAAGACAGTCTCTATCACAGAACGCTTTACACCTCGGCGTGCTGGATTGCGTCAGCTTGTGGCTAGTTTGGAGAGTAATGAGATGAGTCAAGTACATGGAGTGGCTGAAGTCATGGTGCGAGACAATTAATTTGGTGGCTTCAAAGCAAGCCTGGTTTACTCATTCAGTATTATTGGATGACATGGGAACATCACAAAGACTTTATACTGAAAATAAATCCTTAATGATTCCTTCTCTAAGAAATCAGTCTGTAGTATTCCAGGACATTCCCCAAAAATGAAGCTGTATGACAGAGGCTTGCCATGTAACAAGACGACTGGATACAAGCCCAGTCCCGGAGGAAAGCAAGTCTTTAACGTCTGCCTATCTTGGAATATGGCTAGAAGGACGCTATTTCCATGATTTCAATTCACCGCAATCCAAGTTAACTGCAGCTCTAAACCACTCAAAAAAAGAAGCCATTCTATTGCTCGAAACATTCAAATTTTGGAAAGCTAACATGTGCTCCACAATCAATTGATAAATGTAAGATCTCATTAGCCACAAAGGACACCTAGATACCTTCTTGCTGAATGAAATTACTTTGTGAAACTAAAGACCACTCGTAGCATAATGAGATGTCATATTATAGGCTATATAGCAGACGTTTCATCATATACATAATATTTTGGGCATACACACATATGGCAGCATTTGCAGTATCTCTTTCTTAACTGTGAACCCTACTAAATTACTTCTAACTATTGTATATATATATATATATGCATAAATTATAAAGAAGATTGTATTGTTAATATTGTAACATGCCAGTGAAGAAACAGAAGGAAATGTGAATAACACATGGAAACATACCACATTAATGCTGCATAATTCTCAGTTCACCATAAAAAAAAAAGTCACCATGCTGTCCATGTTCCACTGCATGGGTAACACTTGTGTAGAGAAAAAGTTGATTACTGGTTACATACAGACATACTGTATCTTCCAGAGACAGATGTGCTTTTGTCATAATGAAGGTAACATGCCTATGGATCTAAATGATCACTGCTTGTCTCCCTATATAGTCCCTGCTTACTGGATGGGGAAAGCCCGCACTCTGATATCTCCACCATAGCTGTCCTGTGACTGACGGGCACAAAACTGTGATCACAAATAGCACTGGAATTTTTTTGTGCACTTTTTATTTCTTAATGTTATTTTATTGTTTCAATAAATATTTTATATTATTCACTTAATAGCTTTGTGTATATTTCACAACATTTCATGTATAATAAAGTGTCCTCCCATCAGCCTATACAGTATAATTATGATGTGAGAAAAAAAGAAAATGTTTTGGTGCTTGTCAAATTGGCAGAAACAAAGGGTGCCTCAGGAAACTTAGATCCTAAGGTGAATAGAATGTGGGTCTGTATACTACTAACTCTGTGTTGGCAAATGTATTGCACCAGTCTCTTTCTTCAAATTGTATTTATACTTTTATTTTACATTTAAATGCACATCAAGCTGTGCAGCAAAGGTGACGGTGACAGGAGGTGGGAAAGACTAAAACACACTGCCAGGGACCCATTTGGATTCCTTAAAGTGTTACTAAACACACACAACAGTAAAATCTAGTCTATATATGCAGTAAAGCATGCTTGTTATACTCACTGTGGAACATAAGGGATTAATCCTCTGCATTGTGTAAAAAGGCCGATTGATCCTGACTTCTCTGCCCATCCTCTTCTTCAAATGTCCACTTGATAAGACAGACTGAACTCATAGCCACATGCACATGCTCAGTTTGGTGTGTATTGCTAGAGAGTTTTTTTTTTCTTGGGAGGGTGCATGTGATCAGCACAGGGCCAATCAGCATTGTCTAGACAGAGGGTCGGGGGTTTTGCATCCTCCTAGAACAGAAAGAAAACTCATCCTACAAACTTTAAAAAGTGCTCTGCTGAAGTCACAAGACTGCTCTAACTGCTGATGAGAAAAGGTATTTAGCAGTTTATATTTACTAAAATAATTGCATTTCCATGTTGTATGTACTGTGGGAGGCCAGATTTAGTGAATGCAGGGTCCTGGATTTAGTAACACTTTAACAGGTGCTTCTGACCTTCTTCTGACTTTGCATTCCCATTGCCTTGTATAAGTACAAAACACAAAGGCCCATTGAAGAGTCAGTATCCATAGCAGTAGAAGCACACCTACCAACTCTATTCTGTAGTCAGACAAATATACAGTCCTAGCCCAAAAGGCAGTAACTCTATGGGAGAAAGAAGCAGGCAGGTAAGTGCTCTTTACTAGAAGACCATGAAGGAAAGGTGCAGACAGATTTTAGTAGGCACGTAGTTCTAAAGCAGGCAGGTAGACAGTTGGGGTTCTAGCAAAACTGTAGCTCCAGAGGGCTTTGCATTGGTTAACCTAACAGATCTGGCTGTAGGGACATTGTTTAAATGACTTCTGATTCTCCTGGGCCCAAACTGGTCATTTTAAAACCATTCCCAGAGAACTACCCTCTTACTGTGTGAAGGAAGTCCAAGGAGTTATACAAACATGTGGTAGGGTTGCTGTAATCAATTTGATTAGGTATTTTTGTCTAGTCCATCTTGGGGGCTGAATGTGGACACCTTTGCTGGATGCTCCTAGATTTAGAGAGGTTAGTTGAATAGAAATATAATCCTTTTTTAGAGAAAGAAGCTATACATAGAGTTTTAGGAAAGCAAGGTGCTAAACCTCTAAAGCCAGTGTTCAACTTAGTCCTAATAGTCCTACTGCCAGGAATTCCTACATGAGGATAAATAGGAGAAACCAAAACAAACAACACATAATACCGAGTACAAGGACAGTGGTGATAGATGAGTATTAGTGGCAATGTCCTTGTGAATTGAACTACATGACTGTGTTAGCCTATATTGAACTTGAGCCACTGCCGCGTGATCCACTGTCACATAAAGTGCTCATCTGCATGTGTGAGTCATGAGTTCACTGTAGTGATGGTAATATAACAATGTGACAGAATGTCCAGTTGCAAGAAATGTCCAAAAATGCATTTTAAATAATAGTTGCATATTAAATAAGAACAAATGGATTAAAGTAGGGATGCACTGATACCATTTTTTTTACAGCAAGTACGAGTACTTTTTTTTTTGGTACTTGCCAATACCAATTACCAATACCTGTTGGCAACTGTTTTGTTTAAACTTACAGGTTACCCTGCTGACAGCTGAATGAGTGATCAGTTGTTAAGGACATGGCGGCCCTGCTCTGGCTGTCATATTCATTCACTGTATGTGGACCAGAGCAATTTTTACAATTCTGCTATGGACCTGTTTATTCGGCGATTACCTAAGATAACAACGTAATACATATATTGTTTTTTAAGGACAAAAAAGGCTTTCTTTTTGTGAATATTGTCTTGCAACAGTTATATTTTTTTCACAATCCTTAGACAAAAACTAAAAAAAAATGCACGTTTTAATTTTTTTAGCTGTGTTAGTTTAAAATTAAAAAGTGTTACTGCACAGAAACTGTGCATTTTATTCTGTAATTTGTCCTGTATAAAATGACACCAAAGTTATAATTCTGGTACAAATGAATTACATTTATTTCTTTCAATTTTACGCTTTTTTCAATGTGAAATGTGTAAATATATATTAAATGTGTAAAAATTTTAATGAACAAAGCAAACAAAAAAAAGTTTTAATTATTAATAGTTTATAATATGGAAATGAACAAAAAAAAAATCAGCAGGAAAATAATTAAGTGGAGAAGGAGAATAAGGAGTTCATTAGGACTCATCAGTGTAAACTAAGGGATAATAAGGGGTAAACAGGGGAACAGTTAATTAAAAAAAAAAAACTTTTTTTTTACTTGACAGGTTGCTTTTAACTGACTTCATCTGCAGATCAAAGTTCATCACTTTGATCTGTAAATTAATAAACAGAAAGATACAAAAAAGAAACAATGTTTCTTTTTATCTTTCTGTTTAGTGCCTGAGCAATGTTGTTGTTGATAAACATTGTCAGTCGCTTTTTTTTTTTTTCCAATTGCTGAGACTTGAAAATCAAAAATCGGTACACCAACAAAAATATAATTATTAACACCCTGGTCGCGCAAAAGTCACACCTTCTCCCCTTAAAGTCCAAAGTCAAATAAAACCTTCTTATCGTCTGTGAAATCTTCATATATTAGTCAGAATTCATACTCCCAATTGATCCACCTCCATGGAATCACTCTTTCAGTGTGCCTCAAAAAAAACCAAAGCTACATATAGTGCATTATCCCTATTACATAACCATCAAATAAACTCAAAAATCCAAATCTCAGTGTATATTGTGTTCAAAAAATTATATTATTCCACCCAGTGTCCACTGGCTAGATAAAATACTCTTACCCTAAATATACTTGTACATAACTTCAAATCTCATTCCATAGTAGAAAAATCCACGAAAAAAAACTGATCCTTCAAATAGGTCCTTCCCTTCGTAAAGAGTACCTCCGGAGAGAACGTATAATAGTGTAGTATCCTTAAACATATAATAATATGTGTTCCCCTCTTCAACACCACTAGTGCAACATGAATCCACTCGCCACCACCTTCCAAACCATGCACCTTACTGGACTTTACTATCAACTAGCATAGATGAAAAATGGCTCCTCTCGTCCAACACTGTTCCAGCTTCCAATCTCATTAGGACATCATACCATAGGTCAAGAAGAAAAACCATATAGTGTAGTATTATAAATGGGTCTAACGGATAAAAACTCCTTAAAAAAAACGCATCTATCTTCAGTTTAGTACTGATGTGTCCATTCAATACAGCATTCGGTATACAGAAAAGGGAACCTTTTGAAGAAGTCGGAACTGACGAAACGCGTTAAAGACGTGACGGCGGACGTGAACGTAAACCGGAAGTAGCAGAGAGGCCATCTTGAGAGAGGTTCTGTATACCAAATGTTGTATTGAATGGACACATCACTACTACACTGAAGATATATGCGTTTGTGTGTGTGTGCTTTACACTGTAAGCACACTGCTTTAGCAGAGCCATACAAATCAGTGTGCATGAACTGACATGGGAGAGAACTGTATTGTTTACAAACAGTTCTCCCCCCCCCCCGTTGGAGATACTCTCGGCAAACACAGA